AGCGCGTCCACCATAGACTTTGAATGTAAACCTGCTGCTCCTGACGCTGAAATCGCGTTCGGTGTGAACGCACCATTAATGTGATTGTTATTTGGAATAAATAAGTATTCCATTCAGATTTACACAAGCTGCTAGAGATGTCTGCAAGAATAAATGAATGAACGTACAATACATCAGAGAGAAGGTGAGAATCTTCAACATTAAACTCCACCTTGTTATTATAAAGGCTTCTTTATATCAAACCAAGAGGTTTGTCAAATAGAATAAAGGCTCTTTAGCAGCTAATGATCCCCCCCACCCTAATGTTCAACACTGCAGTTAGGGCTGGTCAAGGTCTCTCCCCTCAAATCTACCAAGAGACCCTTCACAACACTGTTTAATGACAAAGAAAAGGTCAATCAATAACCCTACTACTTGAAAGTATTCAAGTGATTGCCATCACAGAAAAGAACAGACCTCCAGAACAGTGGGTGTGCAATTATTTCCACCCCCTTGAAATAAAAAAGCAGCAAATTTTATATAAAAAAGATCTGGTATTTTAAAACAATGTTGCAATGTGAAACTATTTTATTTTTATTCTTATACTCCACACAAAGCTTGCACTGGTTTCATTCTGCTCACAGTTACCTCCTGTTCAATGTGAACTAACCTTAAGACATGAATGAGCTGATTTGAGTGTTCTTACTGAGGTCTCCGAGTTGGACGTGTCCCAGGACATAAAGGCCGCTCTTTTTAATGTCGTTGATAAAGGTGATGAGGCCGACAGCGCTGCGAGGATTGGAAACCATCAGGAGGACCTGAGGCCTCCAGAACTTGATGTGGTCCTTCCTGACATCGAGCATCAGAAGGTACTTACGGACCTACAGGCAGAACAGAGACACGTGAGAAGAGTTTTGACTTTTATTGCTCGCCACTGAAATGTGAAAGCGAAGAATGACCTGAGTCTGTATGTGCATGTCTGATTGATACAAAAAAATAAAAATAAAATAAATAAATAAAAATAAAAAATCCCCCCAAAAATCTAATTAGCCACTGAACAAAGTGTGTTTCAACTTGGATTAAAATAACAATAGTAATAATTTATAATGATGCTGACTAACTTCTGGAGTCAACTCAATTCAAGATAGCCACAGCCAAATGTCCTTGCAAAATACAGGAATGGTTAAAATACATTCAGTTTTACAGATACTGATCTAATATTTGGTGTGGTAGTATCTGAGTCTGATTCCCAACACACTCTGAGCAGAACTGATTGCAAAGCATCTTTCTTTGAAAACCTGTTTTTACCTATTTGTCCTTTCCATAGGCCTGTTGGCAAAATATCTCATAAACCATTAGCTGAATTTTTAAAAATTTTTTAGGAACTAATCATTAGAAGTATTTCTATAGCTAATTAACCTTGTTCAAGATGACTGCAACAGCTGACCTTAGAAAACACAAAGATTGCCTTAAATTGTAAAATTTAAAAATGCTGCTCTAAAATGAAGTGTTTGTACATGAGAGTCATTCATAATGCTACTTCGAGGGCTACAAAAGATCTAAACTTAAAACATTAGTATTAAATTTGAAAGTAAACTTTCTCTGTTAGCAAAATACCCAAAAATACCCATAGAATCACTGGACCTCTAACGTAACACATGGACATGTTTACTGCATAATTTATGGCAAAAAGGTGAACAGATAAGATAAATAAACATATTTGTTTTATAATAAGATATGAAGCACTCAAATATAACTTTTATCCATCTATGTAGTGTACAGACCACATATAAATGGCTCTAATAAAATCCTTTAATGAGTTTAAAACCTGTATAAGTAAAAAAAAACTTAACCACTTTAGAAAAATAACCACTAAGTATTTTGTTATTCAAACATTTTTCTAAAGTGTAAACACTCATTTATCAAAATTAACACCACACAACAATCCCTAGGAGCTTATTTTACTAAAGTTGAACAGCAAAAGTTTTAATACACATACAGACTACAGAATACTAGAGTAGGTTTCCTACTTGTTGAATTTTATGGTTAGTTTCTTTTCACAAACCATAGTTTTAAAATAAAGTTAAAAGTTAAGCCTCTAAATCTTTTAATCTGAAGCTGTCTAAAGGAGCTTCTGTCTCATCACAATAAATTGAATGGTACACCATAGCATATATTTTGTACTTCAGTGAAGGGTGACCTGAGAGTTCAGGGAAATTAACTTTTTATCACTCTCCTTCTCGGTTTCACCAGAAACCTCCAGATAAAGGTTGTATCAAAAGTTTATAAAAGAGTTAGAACGGTTAAAAATCCAAATGATTTAGGGGGGACTTTGTGATGAAAATGACATTAAAATATTTAAGTAGTACCAGGGGTCTCATTTATAAAGGATTGCGTGGAAATCATACTAAAAGTGAACGTTCGGCCAAAAGGCGGAAATGGCGTACGCAAAAAAAAAAAAAAAAATTCCGATTTATAAAACGGTGCGTACGCATGTTTCTGCACATCTTTCATTTAGAAATCACAGCCGCACGTCAGAGTTTGCGCACGAGGTCCCGCCTCAGGTTCTACCCTCTACACGCCCACACTCAACCATAAAC